ACAATTGCGTCTCTCTACGTCTTGCTACGTCCTTGCTGCCTGCTGAGGGGACGTAATATCAACAAGTAGCATCGGCTGGGAATTATGATGGACAATTCAAAGAGGAAGATTACAGATGTCAGGAGGCAATAGGAGTTTATCTGACACATAAGATGTTTAAAAACATGACTCAGCCCCTTATGCAATTAGACAGTGGCACTGGAAGTCATATTTATGAAAAACACGTTCATAAATAATGATGCTGAACATCGCGTATGAATACAACAGTGAGAATCACATAGTTCCCGTTGTCAGAATTAACATCGGCTTTGAAACATGACCTGATACATCATCAAGTACAATTCTGGGTTCCTCTACGTAATTCACAAGATTACATAAACTTTACAATGCAAAACACTAAGCTGAGTCAAAAGTAGCGGTAACCCCGTTGCGAAATAGACTGGCTGTCACAAAGTTAAAATGGCGGGCGTCACCAAAACATGTAGCTCGGCCCTGATCACAAATTCACCAAAGAATGGATAATTAACGAGTGTCAAGGGATTATGATCAGTTTGTCGAAGGACAAGGTAAGATTAATCCATATCGGATAGTTAGTTTTCGTAACTAGACGCTTAGAGCAAGGAAATGTCAAAAAGTTACGGTCAATTCAAAAACTCTTGAAAAGGTAAACAAGATCGTTCTGACAGGAGACGTTGTTGACATTGACTCTTACAAAGTACAACTGTGTTCTAAACAAATAGCGTAATGTGATGGCACTAGCTTATGATGTTTTACGAATGCAATACATGTTATAATGCTCAAAACAACATGCTACGATCTTTTTTGCTAGATTTCTTACCAAAACAGATTTCAAAACACTGAATTACGTGAAAACGAGGTTGCCAATAATACTCGTATATAGCTGCAAAACTAATTACACGATAATTATAATAACAATTTCTGCACTGCCATAAACTATCAAAAAATACAGATGGGAAATACCTAACAGATATGTCATGATGCCTAATCATTTACAAGCTTTTATAACTTATGAATTTTGAAATTAAAATGCAGGAGTATTATTTAAATCTTCGTGATGGCCATCACAACAGCACGACGGGGCGGGTCAAACACATAAGTATATGACAATATCATGATTTTTAGCTTTAATGCATTGTTCAAATCATTTGCAATCTGTTGTCATTAGGGTGGAATATTGATTGGCGCGGCATCAACAGAAACATTTTGGTGTTTTCAAGGTTGAAAGTTATGTAAAACAGGAACAATTATTTTCTAATCAGTGAGTGAGCTTAGTTTTACGCAGCACTCAGCACTATTCCAGCTATATGGCGGCGGTCTGTAAATAATCGAGTGTGGACCAGACAATCCACTGATCAACAACATAATCTGCCGCTTGTGGCAATATTCCAGCAATATCACGGCGGGGACATCAGAAATGGGCTTCCCACATTTTACCCATGTTGGGTATCGAAGACGGGTGTTCGGCGTGACGAGGCAACGCTTTAACCACTGGGCTACCCCACCACCCCTGAAGTTGAGTGAAAGGTGTAAACTGGAGATATACAATATTACAACTGTAGTATACTTCGTTGGTTGGTTGTGTTTGTTGCTGAACGCCGCACTCAGCAATATTCCAGCTATATGGCGGCAGTCTGTAAATAATCGAGTCTGGACCAGGCAATCCATGCAATACGATGACATGTGTCGACCAAGTCAGTGAGTCCGACGACACGCAGCCTCTTACTAATATATTCGTATTTAAGCGAACAATTCGTTTAGAAATTACATGTAATTAAATGGTGTGTGTGTGTGTGTGTGTGTGTGTGTGTGTGTGTGTGTGTGTGTGTGTGTGTGTGTGTGTGTGTGTGTGTGTGTGTGTGTGTGTGTGTGTGTGTGTGTGTGTGTGTGTGTGTGTGTGTGTGTGTGTGTGTGTGTGTGTGTGTGTGTGTGCACACTTCATTTTTAGTTTCAATGATCATTTAATAAACTTTCCTATGTAATTCTGTTCTTTTCTAAGAGGGGGGAGACAAGCTTTCTTAAACGTTAGAGCATTGACGAACCAGAAAGGGAGCTAACTCTGCTTGCCTTATGGAAAGATGGGTACACATTTAAAACTGAACATGCTCGTTACACAAAATATACTCAACTTCCACCAAAACATATCGCAATTATTATCGTGTCACAGAAATCTTCTCAAGTGTAAAACTACAGCAAAATGAACGCCTACGAATATCTCAAAACGTGGTTATCGAGGATATACATTTCCAGTTGGATTGGTTTACTGTTCATACATACGGCCGACGGCTTTACAGATCCTATATAATTGGATTGATATTTTCGCTTTTCGAAATTTGAAAGGAATTAAGAGTTGATTGTTTTGCATGTCTATTCTACCAATGTACGTCAGTAACAAGTTGTTGATTTGGTCTGCATGTTGCAATCGTCCCTAAACGTGTGAATATTCGTCGCTGTATCAAATCAATAAATGTCAGAACCAATATATGTGCAGAGAAGATATACCCATCCATTGTGTTCTCTGTCCGTATAGATCGAAATGGCTGAAAAACAGTGGACCACACAGTGAGTGAGTAAGCGAGTGAGTTTTAGTTTTACGCCGCTTTTAGCAATATTACAGCAATATCACGGCGGGGGACACCAGAAATGGGCTTCACACATTGTTCACACAATCCAAGCCGGGACTCCGGCGTGACGAGCGAACGCTTTAGCCACTAGGCTATCCCACCGCCCCGTCGACCACACAGCAGAACATGATTTTCCGTTTACAAATAGTAGTGCCACGTGTTCCAATACATATGGCGGTAAACGTGGGGTCACATTTTTAAAAAAATGTTTATCAGCACGTAGCCAAGAAGGTGCGCATATGACCACACTGACCTCCGCCTGCTACAAGTTCTACTTCCTTATATATGGGTCGGCTGCATCAGTTTCTACTAGGGCTGGGTATTGCAGAGAATTTTCATATTGCAATATATTGCGATGCGAAAGCATATATTGCGATATGTATTGCAATATATTGCAAGAAGTTCTTTTTTAACAAAAAACTACTTATAATCGAGTTAATGCTTGATTTATAAAGCAAAAACACAACAAAATCACCATGCTTGATTAAGCTTTAATAAAAACTTTTAATCATGACAAAATAAAAATGTAAATAATATTTGGCACAAATTAAAAAAGGGAAAGGAACAATTTATAAAACGGAAATATCCGAAGATTTCCGAGTGTTACGAAGTCTTTTCGAATGCATGTCAAAATACCGGTTTTGAATCAACCTTTCGCAATACGTGTCGTGTTGAACCGGTATATACCGGTAAACCGGTTATATTGTGCGGCCCTAGTTTCTACACAAACCGACAGACGAGTCTCATTAACCAATTCAGACAATGACCTACTTTTCAGCCAATCCTATGTTTCTCGTGTGAAAGTGAGACACCACAAACAACTATGGTTACACTAAATTCCAATTCCTTGTTTCTTAAGAAAATAGCATTTACAAAGTTTAATTTTAAAGTTTAAAATAAATCGTATTTCTATATTCTATGTCGAGGTTTTGGCAGCATGTCGTTAACTAAGACGTCACAGACTGCCCGTTTGAAGAGGTCGTACAATGATTCACAATTCATCTGGCTCACTGGTTATACCTGTTATGTGTTCTACGCGCTTATTAAGTCACGTATATTTTTTGTAAAATTATTTTTGTAAATGTACAATGTGGTTGATATCAAGTCTGTACCAGAACGCCAACGTTTCTAGCGGCCGAGCCTCGTTTTGAGATTTCCTCGATTTCCGTTTGTCAGAGCACGCTGTACGACGTGTTTGCAAGGATTAGAAGGAGCGTAGTGTTGCATTATACAAGTGATTAGATGTATCAAATAATACTGATTGATATTCATATATCCAGTGGAATGAGTGCGTCTCAAAATTCTGGACTGGTTATTGTACTAAGTTGCGCAACAGGATGGACCCCAGTCAGCAGGAAACGAGACTGTTGTGTAATCAATGTTTTGACTTGAACAACTAAGGCAGGTCCGCTAAAAATATACCGATTGCAATTTCATTGCCAAGAACCGTTTCTATAATCCCACAATTACGAATGGAAAGAAGAACATAGTCTTTTTCCAAACACTTGATTGACCGTTTATCTTTGAGAAATGATTGGTTCACATGCTCTTCGCAAAATACAACGTACTGTATCTTGACCGAGAGAAATATATTTTTGAGTGAGTCAGCTATAATCCTTTATAACTTCCTACCCGACCCCTAAAAAGCTGTTCGTGGATTTCTGAACGAGGCAATATATATTTTGCTTCCCACTAAGCAAACTGCTGCACATTGTTCAGGGGTGGGGGTGGTGGGGTGTTTATTTCATTCATGCCACGTGACAGCACGCGATTACCTTATTTCAATCCAACAGGTCTTTTTCATCGATCGTATTCGTTAACAACGTAATAAGGAAACATGTCGGTACGATAAAAGAAGTATCATTAGTGGTATGTATGGCTCTAAGCTTCCATCCTGTTATAAAACCTCACGCCGAGCGAACAATGCGGTACTCCAATTATTCTGCTACAATCTATAGTGTTGAGGAGGACAGCATCCAGCGGACGACTCCTTTCATTAACCAATATGGATTTCAATACAACGCAATCAGATCGTATGTTCACACAGTGATTTCCCTTTTCGAATATGAACTACCACTATGAACGATTTCGCCCAATTTTTTCAAAACCTTAACAATAACATTCAATCCAGAGCAAAGGCGAGAAGTTATGGATGTCAACTCTTTTTTTTTAAGGAACACGATATTTTATTCATCTTATACTCCGAAATAATGTTCCTCAAATAAAGTTGACATCCATAAACTCTCGCTTTTGAGTATCACTTCTAAATGCCGTTCAAAATCCCAATCCAGTTTCATTTGATTATTCAATTTAAAGAGCTAAATAAGAGCGATAAATGAAACATACACAACACAAAAAGGATGTAAAGAGAGCTTTAATGTGCGTGAAAGGAGAACTTTTGATATGGTGTGTGAGAAAAGAAAAGGTTTTCCTCAAGAGCGTCTCTGTTAATTGTCAATCTTAGTACGTTAGGTCCATGATACTCCACATCTATTTCATGCCAGCGGTAGTCAACAGTGCGGCAAAGAGTATTTGGTCCTTTTCATGAGAAGACTGGAATTTTTCGTGACTTGGTTATTTACAGCTGCAAGAGTCATCACACTTACAGGTGTCACCTGCGGTGCATCCCTTGCCACACTGGCACCCATCTGAAATACCAGCAACATTTACTGTAAGGGAAAAAGTCATATAATTTTCTAAGCGAGTAAATGGTATTTTGCTTTGAATAACTGTCGCCGCCAAGGTATCATAAGTCTTTAATATGGCTGACGCGGCTATGGCAACTGTCCGCCATAAAAATGGCTTCTCGTGCTTTGTTAATAAGTGGAATCAACCCCATTTTTCGGTATGAGTGAGTGAGTATGGTTTTACGACGCTTTTAACAATATTCCAGCAGTATCACGCCGGGGGACACCAGAAATTGGCTTCACACATTGTAGTCATATGGAGAATCGAACCCGGTCTTCGGCGTGACGAGCGGACGCTTTAACCATTTGGCTACCCCACCGCCCCTTTCGAGTGAGCGCCTTCACTTATACCAGCAATTCCTGGAAATGCGTATTAAATGTAAATATTGACAAAGAAAAATAGTCTCCAGTTGTGAGTCTAAACTACAGCCCTTCTCATTAAAACATCAGACGAATGTAATATTTACTACACATACATGTATCTACTTCATTAAACGTTCCGTCACGACGGTTCGATTCCCCACATGGGCACAATGTGTTAAGCCCATTTCTGGTGTCCCCGCCGTGATATTGCTGGAATATTGCTAAAAGCGGCGTAAAACTAAACTCAGTCAGTCATTAAACGTTCAATGGGTTTTTTTTCATCCCTTCCGTGGAAAGGGATTTGTGACATATATTGTGCAACATACATATCCTCTCTATTGAATTTCTATCTTTACCTGAACACGTGCACACTTTCTTGACCTTGCACGTGGTGCACCCACGATCGCTGGGGTTGCACTTGCAGTCTGTGCCGCACGCGCATGGGTTGCTCTTGCACTCGGCGGTGCATCCGGGGCCTGGAAATAGACGGGGAAATGTGAGTCAAGAAATGTATGTGAAGCCCAAACATCTTCACATCACGAAAACACGTGTTTGTAATCAAACGCAATGTCCACAGAAAAAATACATTTGGAACGAAATCCAAACACAATGCACATCTTTAACGAAAAAGAGTGAATAACTGAAAACATACAGATCTGTAGGTCCAACGTTAATAAAGTGAGATGCTGTAGTTGTGGGCACATTAATCAACACTAACAGACTTTAAGTGATATGTTTAGTAGATAGTCACTGACATCTACGATGTTTCTTACGAAGGGATCTAAGTGTGTTATATGTGCTTGTTGTTCAACGCCGCACTCAGCAATATTCCAGCTGTACGGCGGTCTGTAAATAATCGAGACGGGTGGTTAACATCATGAGCATCGATCTACGCAGGTGGGATACCATGACGCGATCTACGCAGATTGGATACCATGACGCGATCTACGCAGGTGGGACACCATGACGCGATCTACGCAGGTGGGACACCATGACGCGATCTACGCAGGTGGGACACCATGACGCGATCTACGCAGGTGGGATACCGTGACGCGATCTACGCAGGTGGGACACCATGACGCGATCTACGCAGGTGGGATACCATGACGCGATCTACGCAGGTGGGATACCATGACGCGCATCAACCAAGGTAGCAAGCCTAACGCTCCGATCCCGTTAGTTGCCTCGTACAATAACCATGGGTGGCTGAAGACCAGGTCTAAACTAAATCTCCACGGGTACCTATGTATTCACGGATACTATAAAAACATACTAGGTCAACGTTTTATGTCTTAATAATAATATCGATGAGTTGTTCTTAAAGTTATCTTAGTCTTGATGTTCAGTGTAATGTTTTACTTGGCACCCATCCCTTACTCTAGAGTTCATCACAAACTACCTCTAAAGAAAACCTTACTTCACGTTGATCGTGAGTGAGTGATTTAATGCCGCTTTGACGTGCACGTCATGCAGGTCTAAGACTTCATCACTTTGGTGAGCATTCAAATACAGTATGATGCTGACAAATCAACAGAGGTAGGGCGAATCTGGGATTCGAACCCCTGATCATGGGTCTCTGACATGCCTAAAGAAACCATCTATGCACAGTAAACGACTGAGCAACACGTGCCCCATTTAATGTTAAGACACTTTTTATACCTGTATGATACAACACAACACCAAGAACCTATTACAGCAATAGGGGCGGTGGGGTAGCCTAGTGGTTAAAGCGTTCGCTCGTCACGCAAAAAGACCCGGGTTCGATTCCCCACATGGGTACAATATGTGTACCCCATTTCTGGTGTTCAGTGCCATGATATTGCTGGAATATTGCTGGAATATTGCTAAAAGTGGCGTAAAACCCAGCTCATTCACTATTAAAGTAATACAGTAGTAGATCTGGAATAACTGACTAAATTAAGCATTAATATGTACACTATATATCTTGTTTAATTATTCATAGCACGCCAGCAATAGGGCAATATCTAAAGTTGTAACTGGGTACGGACCCTGAAACATGATATGAGATGTATTACAGGTAGACAACATGCTGTTATAAACCGATCACCTGTTCATCTACGGATATAAAGTTTCCCATAAGATATATACCTCACTCTGAAAATGATATCATAACACACGCCTCATGAATAATAACTTTACATAATTATTCATGCATCATAATTCCATATCAAATGTACTTTATGTCTGAACACATCAACAATTGCATGTAACACGAATCCTTACGGTGTGCGAGTTGAGCTTACAAAAACTTCTGGCAGTGTGCCAGCAATGGAGTGCGATTGTACAATGTTCCATGAAATGTTATAACTTCATGCATTGAATGCAAAGATAGGTGAGGTGGGTGAGGTGAAATTGGGTTTAACGTCGTGCTTGAGAATATTTCGCTCATATGACGACGTGCATGCGTGTGTATGTGTAGGTGCGGCTGCTTGTACTAGCCCAGACTTAAGCTGGTTTTATAGTGATAGCCCACTGGGATACCACGCCGCAGTTTAGCATGAATACCCCACTCAGACACATTATACTGACTCCGATCCGACCAGTCCTTGTTGTACCCATTAATGCCGAGCGACAGGCAGGGACCAACAAGTACCATATTTTAACGTCTTGTGTTATGACGCGGTTGGGGAAAGAACCCGCGACCTTCCGCTTTCCGGGCGGACGTTTTAACCACTACACCACGGAGACGCTCTTTCAAAGATGGTAATTATGAGTATGATTTTATTAGAGCGACAAATATCTTCCCTTTGCCACGCAACATCTCTGGCATTAGTAGAAGTCAATTTTACGATAATACCCCCGTCCACATTTGCAATCGACCTCCGCATATTATTTATCGTTTGGGTTCGCCGATTTCCCTTACGTCCGGTTTTAATTTGGGTACGATATTTCAGCAATGAAATATGTTTGTTTTTTTACACATCTACCTACATGTCATATTTATCTGAAGACACACCATGGCACATACACGTGCACATTCCAAACAAAACACTGTCTTAATTACATGAACAACACCCACTGTCGACAACCAGGAGGCTGCACGATCGGTTGCAGTTATCACGAGCAATTCGGTAAACATACCTTCATTCGAAGAGCATATTTATCCACGATCTTGATTGTAGCATAAGGAATACTATAGTCTGTTTGCAGTGAAAACGTGCCAATGAATTTCACTTTAAACAAAAAAGTAAAACAAATTAAGTGAAATTAACATTGCGAATCCTCATAATTTTACCTTGCCAAATGAATATTTAAATCTCAGAATTTTATTCAACTTAGATAAAGTTGTTTAACAAAAGATCATAGATTCAAATCGCTATTATTGGTTTGTATTACAAGGGGGTAAGCGCAGTAGATGGAACAGTGAAACAAATGCACGTGCGGTACGTGATGAGCGTTAAGTTAGACCAGCCCTACTTGTTCTCGGTGTTTCATCTAATGTGCATACCCCCTTGTAATACAAACCAATAATAGCGATTTGAAACTATGATCGTTTGTTAAACAACTTTTATCCTAAGTTGAATACATTTCTGAGATTTGAATGTTCAATTGGCAAGGTAAAATTATGAGGATTCGCAATCTTAATTTTGCTTTAATCAATAAACTTTAGAGTGAAATTCATCGGTACGTTTTCACTGCAAACAGACTATGATCCCTAACACATCATTAACATGTACAGACGTCATCTTAATCCGATGTCTGCATGAACATGGCTGCCGATAGAGAATTATTTTGATGAGTGTTTAACAGCGACAACAATATAAAAACACGCCTACCTTGTGGACTTGACATGATGATAACTGAGTGAGGTGGATGAGGTATTCTATTATAAACACAGCTGCTACGTCGGTACTGAGGTAGGGCGCGCTGACTCGGACTATATATCGATGTTGACGCTGCACACGGCACTGTAGTTTCACACGGCCCGCTGTCACGAGTTGTGCATTACGCATTCAACTACTTATATAACTTGTCAGACATCCCTTGCCTACCCATTCTCTTCCCACAGAGGTAACTTGTCATAGAGGTAACTTCCTACGAACCTCTGTTCTAATACGGCCACATTTCCCGGTTCTCGTAAAATCCCCTAGCGGCAAAAGATGGCAACACGAATTATCTCCCTTCTTTCTATCCAATCAGAACACCTGTTTCATCGACTTAGATTCAACTTGACTAACACAAGCAAATGTGAGGCCACAAATATCCACCATCTACCGGGGACTTGTGTTGATGTTACACACAAGACGTTTAATGGCTTGCTTGTCCGTTGTCAACGAGGGCGATGGAGACGCCACTGATCCGCCATAACATGACTGAGTTCTGTCTAGAAGAAACGTTTGCGCATCGCGCAGGGGAAGAGGTTTAGTTTTCTCGAAGTATACGGAAATTACTGAGGCCTTGCGAATGATCACTTTTGAAACAACGTCGCTACATGCACAACTAAATCTGATTGCCTCCAATCACGAGTCTTGAACGCCCACACCATGAAAGGGCCGTATTAGAACAGAGGTTACGTAGGAAGATATGACAGGAGTAACCTCTGTGGGAAGAGAATGTTGTCTACCATGCTATGTATAACGTGTTATCACATCCAACGCCACAACCCCACCATGAATCGAGATCAAGGTTATTTCATCTCGTCAGCCTATCACCACCTAATCAAACACCACCACCAGTAATCCTTCCCTACCTCCGTTGTCCATCTGGCTTCCATGCTCCCTCCTTTGTGCTTGTAATCACAACTATTGTACGTCAACTCATCAATTGTATAAACTCAACTCTAATCACAATCAATCACTCTGTACATCAACCTCCTCTGCTGTAATCACTTATCAAATATCCAATGTTCATCAACCTTGTTAATTGTATATACTCAACATACAGCTATGTATATATTCTCCTTGCTTCAGTTGTTGTATCACTTGCTTGATAACGGTGTTAGTACCTACACCGAAACGTCGCACTCATTGCAATAAAGAAGTTGACTATCCATACAAATCAGTTTTCCTTCATCTTCACAACTTCTAAAATGCCTCTCAAAGAAAGTGTTATCACATGTTATCAAGGGAACTGTGTAGTGTTTTAATCATTGAAACAGCTGAAATATACCCAATATTTCAGTTGTTTATTTATGTGACCGATTTGCTGCATAATACAAACACTGCATCGTAGTAGCCACAAACAAGGTCAGAAGATACTATAACAATTGTTATCGCCGACCCTTAACATAGTGGCGCCAAAATCATGATAACAGTTCCCGCCATTTGTGCTCCATTCAGGACCCCTCTGTGCGACGAAGGAATCTTGTCAAGGCGATCTCGTTGATGATGACATGTACGCACCGTTTGAAATAGTGAATGTCGACGAAAAGTAGGCACTTCCCCATTTTGGGAGCAAATGGTTGAAACTAAAAGTTAATCGCGAAACTCATTTTATGTATAGAACTTTCTTATCCATGTAGTATAACCAAGTGCAAAGTTTCCTTAGGCTAGACGTAATATGCACGTGCACCCCAGCGTGTAAGAATATGTGATTATATATTTAGACGTGTCGAAGTACAGCATTATTAACATATGTGAGGAGATGACAATATGTTTGTGATAGATAAATATATGATATACGGAATGTACAAGTATGTAATTATGTATTTCACCATGTTAAAAACTTTTATTTCTTAATGTGAAACATGTGTAATCTGTATTAGTGCCTGTAAGCATGATTGCAGAAAGAAATCGCATTATTTATTAACAAATATGTATATAGTATACAGTAGTGTGTATAACGAATTGCCTAACGGTACTCGAATATGTTTGTGTTTTCGTGATTGTGAATGACGTGTTCATTTTACTGTGTGTGAGTAAGTGAAAGATGGACATGTTATACGATATGTGAGAATACACCTGTTTTACACCTGAGTTATTGAGTACGTGTATGTGAGTATGAGAGTATGTTTTACAAAATGTGACACTACTGACGGCCCGTTTGCTGTGAGAACACACGTTTTACATATTATGTAAGATATGAACATATTTCACTATATGTTACAATACGGAAATGGTTCACTGAATGTCAGAATATGGAAAAGTTTCGCTGTATTTCAAATACGGAAATGTTTCACTGCATGTTAGAATGTGGAAATGTTTCACTGCATGTTAGAATGTGGAAATGTTTCACTGTATGTCAAATATGGAAATGTTTCACTGCATGTTAGAATGTAGAAATGTTTCACTGTATGTCAAATATGGAAATGTTTCACTGCATGTTAGAATGTAGAAATGTTCCACTGTATTTCAAATATGGAAATGTTTCACTGCATGTTTGAATGTGGAAATGTTTCACTGAATGTGTGGAAATGTTTCACTGCATGTTAGAATGTGGAAATGTTTCACTGCATGTTAGAATGTAGAAATGTTCCACTGTATTTCAAATATGAAAATGTTTCACTGCATGTTAGAATGTGGAAATGTTTCACTGTATGTCAAATATGGAAATGTTTCACTGCATGTTAGAATGTAGAAATGTTTCACTGTATTTCAAATATGGAAATGTTTCACTGCATGTTAGAATGTGGACATTCTGCACTGTATGTTAGAATGTAGAAATGTTTCACTGTATGTCAAATGTGGAAATGTTTCACTGCATGTTAGAATGTGGAAATGTTTCACTGTATGTTAGAATGTGGAAATCTTTCACTGCATGTTAGAATGTGGACATTCTGCACAGTATGTTAGAATGTAGAAATGTTTCACTGTATGTCAGAATGTAGAAATGTTTCACTGCATGTCAGAATGTCGAAATGTTTCACTGTATGCTAGAATGTGGAAATGTTTCACTGTATGTCGGAATGTGGAAATGTTTCACTGTATGTCGGAATGTGGAAATGTTTCACTGCATGTTAGAACGTGGAAATGTTTCACTGCAATGTGGAAATGATAAAATATGAACATGTTTCATGCATTGTTAGAATAAGGAAATATGTGTCTGTTGTACATGTGTGACGAACCACATGCCTTCCTTCGTATACGACCATGCCATAGTGCGTTATCACAATTCCAATGCTATGCTCCCTTTGACAACAGTATACTCTTCGTGCTGGTGTGATAACCCTAACAGATATACTATCTCGCAATGTCATAACGGGATGGTCGTCGTGCAAGCTAAGCTGATAAAGGATGTCGGCCAATAACAGACAGCTTAACAACACAAGATACGGGATGCAGGTGCGCCTACAGACTGTAGTTCATCTTCACATGTGCCTTATGCCTGCCGGAAGGACTATAGTCTCGAGCAAAGTAAACCGTAGGCGTTATCTATTGTTTACTGACCTCGCTAGTCTGTCATACAGGCCCTGAAACAAATATAGTATCCCCAGAAATTATTGAGAAAGTTGTGTCGGCAAATATCTAATACATGCATATTAAATATAGAAGTTTTACCTAAATGAATATGTTGAGAAATGATTCTCTTATAGTTTAAGTGTCTCTTCAATACTTTGTGAGACCCCCTTGAAATTGCCCTGCAATACACGACTGAATGCGCCTAGGTACACTACCGTTGGAAGGAGGTGTCCATGTAAGATGTCAATAAGATCGTTCCTTTGTTTCCAGTGGAAATACATAACAGCGTCTCCCAACATGTGAAATATCCAGCTTTGGGCATTGGTAGATAGATTTCACGGTATCTTTTGTCCAAATGTTCACACAGTTTGGAAAATGCCAGACTTTCATCAGAAAAGAAAACACTATCCCAATCTTGATTTTCGTGAGCCCTGCACATTTTATACGTCTTTCTTTTTGTGCATCTTTTCATCAGTGGTGAGGGAATCCCGCGCTTTTTCACAGGGTAATTTCAACTTACGCTTCAGGTATATCGATGATCTAATATCGATAAAAAACCATCAAATAGCCAATTCTCTTCCAGTGATTTACCCACCTGAACGTGAACAAACAGACAAGTGAGATCTGTGCATAATTATTCTGAGTGACAAAACAGTCACCACAAGCCTGTGTGATAAGCTATATTTGAAAATCAATCAATTTTACTTTCCATTTTAATCATTTCTTAACAAAGTCCACCTTACTCTAACATAAATTCCCTCTTACAAGAAATGAGTAAGTGTTAAATTCAATTTAATGCAACAACATTATACCAAACAAACGGACTACTTTCATGTGCCCCTAACTTTATTCAGCTAGTCCGTCATGGGAGAGACACTATGACTGAACTGAAATGCCAGTACACATTCACATAGGACGAACCATTTCAAATATATTTAAAAAGGCGGCATTGCCATATAGAAATTGCATTTCAATCATTACAGCGCAACCTTTGTGAAACACAGATAAAGTAGTAATAACTGGCAGTCTATAGGTAAATCATGGTTACGTACTATGATAGATAATGAATCCTTAGCTTTTCTAGGTTGATCTACCAACGGAATCTTGGCCGTTAGAAAGTTTCTAGCTCGTTTTAAGAGCAAACCAAGATATTCATATTGGTTTACTACTTTAACAATATAATCGTCTATCATAATAATAGAAGCGACAAAACCATTTCCACAGCCATAAGAAATCTCTGCTAAAAGCAGAGTCGATTGTACAATTCCGACTATATCTGACATATCATGAACATGTATTTGTTTCAGCAGTATTACAGTTTTACGATGTCATTTGTAAACAATCGTGTCTGGCAATCCAGTGATTGTGAATATACAATGCCATTTAGAAAGTAGTCAAATGTAACACATGTTATTTGGGATTACACTTTCTAAGTCAAGTACAGTTCTAGTACTTTTGTCGGGTTGAGTCCCATCCGGGTATTAGCATCTGTACTTTATTGAGAAAGTGTACTCCCAAATAACATATGTTACAATCAAGTGATTGTCACCATGCGATAGGATGATAGTGTTTATGAATCCCTATCAGATAGTGATGAT